GTTTCACCGTGTTAGCCAGGATGGTCTCGATCTCCTGACCTTGTGATCCACCCGTCTCGGTCTCCCAAAGTGCTGGGATTACAGGCTTGAGCCACTGTGCCCGGCCTAATTTTTGCATTTTTTGTAGAGGCAGGGTTTCACCATGTTACCCAGGGTGGCCTTGAATTCCTGGGCTCCAGCAATCTGCCCATTTTGGCCGCCGAAAGTGCTGGGATAATAGGCGTGTGCCGCAACATCTGGCTCTACTATTTAACATTTTTTATTTCTATGCGTTAGATTTTTTTGTTAAGTTTTTCTTCTTGTCAGGATTGGGATCATGGATTTATTATTAGTATGTTTTGACTATAGAGTACTTTTAGGATTTTTTTTCTGTCACCCAGGCTCAAGTGCAGTAGCACCGTTATAGCTCACTGCAGCCTCAAACTCCTGGGCTCGTGTGATCTTCTACCTCACCCTCCTGGAGTAGCAGTGACTACAAGCATATGGTACCATGCCAGGCTAGTTTTTTATTTTTGTAGAGATGAGGGGCTGGGTCTCGATATATTGCCTGGGCTGGTCTCAAACCCTTGACTTGAAGAGATTCCTCCTGCCTTGGTTCCCCAATTTGCTGGGATTACAGACATGAACCACCTCACACGGCCCATTTAGGAATTTTTTTTTTTTTTTTTTTTTCCTGAGATGGATTCTTGCTCTCTCACCCAGGTTGGAGTGCAGTCGTGTGATCCTGGCTCACTGCAACCTCCAACTCCCTGATTCAATCGATTCTTCTGCCTCAGCCACCCAAGTAGCTGGGATTACAGGCACGTGCCACCACGCCCAGCTAATTTTTGCATTTTTAGTAGAGATGGGGTTTAACCACGTTGGCCAGGATAGTCTTGATCTCCTGACCTTGGCCTCAATCCACCTACCTTGGCCTCCCAAAGTGCTGGGATTACAGGTGTGAGCCACCTCACCCTGCTAGAATTTTTTTTTTTTTTTGAGACGGAGTCTTGCTCTGTCGCCCAGGCTGGAGTGCAATGGTGTGATCTTGGCTCAGTGCAAGCTCTGCCTCCCGATTCACACCATTCTCCTGCCTCAGCCTCCCGAGTAGTTGGGACTACAGGCTTCCACCACCAAGCCCGGCTAATTGTTTGTGTTTTTAGTAGAGACGGGGTTTCCCCATGTTGGCCAGGATGGTCTCGGTCTCCTGACCTCATGATCCTCCCACCTCAGCCTCCCAAAGTACTGGGATTACAGGCGTGAGCCACCACGGCCAGCTGCTAGGATGTTTTAATTAAAGTTGTTTTAAATTAAAATTTTAGTCTGAATACAAAACTTAGTACATGATATGAAAGTAAATTAACTATTCTTTTGTTTTGTTGGGTTTTTTTTGTGTGTGTGTGACAGAGTTTCCCTCTGTTGTCCAGGCTGGAGTGTGGTGGGCACAATCTCAGCTCATCTCCGCCTCCTGGATTCAAGCAGTTCTACCACCTCAGCCTCCCAAGTAGCTGGTACTACAGGCGCATGCCACCACATACCCGGGTAATTTTTGTATTTTTTGGTAGTGATAGGATTTCACTATGTTGGCCAGGCTGGTCTCGAACTCCTGACCTCAAGTGATACGCCCACCTCAACCTCCCAAAGTGCTGGGATTACAGGCATTAGCCACCACACCCAGCCGATATGAAAGTAAATTAACTGTGCAAACTAGTTTTTGTGTCTACTACTATAGTATAAAATATTAACTGGTATAAATCTATTAAGAAGATTTTTGGCCAGGCACAGTGGCTCATGCCTGTAATCGCAGCACTTTGGGAGGCCAAGACAGGCGGATCACCTGAGGTCAAGGAGTTTGTGACCAGTCTGACCAATACAGTAAAACCCATCTCTACTAAAAATACAAGAATTAGCTGGTGTGGTGGCACGCCCTGTAGTCCCAGCTACTCGGGAGGCTGAAACAGGAGAATCACTTGAACCCAGGAGAGGGAGGTTGCAGTGACCTGAGGTTGTGTCACTGGATTCCAGCCTGGGCGACACAGTGAGACTCCATCTCGAAAAATAAAATAATAAATAAAATAAAATAGATTTTAATCATTGCTATTACTTTGTTACTGGTGTTTGTCTTATTTTACAAAGTTGATAAATGAAAGTATTAAATTATCCAAAGAATTTTGGAGTTATAATACCTATACTTTATTAGATTTATGTGTTGATTTAAAGCATTCTGGGCCAGGCGTGGTGGCTTATACCTGTAATCCTAGCCTGGACAACATAGTGAAGTCCCGTCTCTACAAAACATACAAAAACATTAGCCAGGCATGGTGGCACACACCAGCCGTTTCAGCTATTTTGGAGGCTGACACAGGAGGATCACTTGAGTCCAGGAGGTTAAGGCTGCAGTGAGGTGTGATTGTGCCACTGCACTGCAGCCTGGGCGATAGTGAGACCCTTTTTCAAAAAAAAAAGTTTTTTTTTTTTTTTTTAAATAAATGAATCAAGTATTCTGGAGTATAAAATAGAACTTAAAAGTTACCTTGTTTCTAGCAACACCACAGCTTACTAACAAGAATCCCAAAATGAGCCGAAGTGTTGGATATTCATATCCCTCCTTACCGCCTGGTTATCAGAACACAACACCACCTGGTGCAACTGGAGTGCCACCCTCTTCCTTGAATTACCCAAGTGGGCCACAAGCCTTTACTCAGGTAAACTTTTTGGGATTTTCTTTAACCTATTTCTCCATTTGGTTTAAACTGTATACACATGAAGAAAGTTTTAGGTAGATATATTATACATTTTTATAACCAATTCGAATAATAATGGATATTTCATAAAGCCTTTGTCTTTATACATCTTTCCAGAACCAAAAGATTGGCCAAGAGATCTAGATTGCACTTTTGTTATTTACAGAGAAATTAACCACTTCCCTACACACTTAATAAAAGTTACTTACTTTGAAATTATATATCTGTAGACTCCCTTAGGTGCTAATCATTTAACCACAAGCATGAGTGGATTAAGTCTGCGTCCAGAGGGTCTAAGAGTTGTCAATCTTCTTCAAGAAAGAAACATGCTTCCGTCAACACCTTTGAAGCCTCCAGTTCCAAATTTACATGAAGACATCCAGAAACTCAACTGTAACCCAGAGTAAGGCTTCAGATGTGACATTGTGCATATCCGAAAAGTTTTCTAGCTTATTACGGGGGCACATCAGGTGTTATGAATAAGCCGTACAAATTATTAATTTATGAAAGTTCTGGATACAGAAGATAGCACTCTTTTTTTGTTTGTTTTTTTGAGACAGTCTTGCTCTGCCGCCGGGGCTGGAGTGCAGTGGCGCAATGTCCGCTCACTGCAAGCTCCGCCCCCAGGGTTCATGCCATTCTCCTGCCTCGGCCTCCCGAGAAGCTGGGACTACACGAGCCCGCCAACACACCCAGCTAGTTTTTTTGTATTTTTAGTAGAGACGAGGTTTCACCATGTTCGCCTGAATGGTCTCGATCTGCTGACCTCGTGAGCTGCCTGCCTCGGCCTCCCAAAGTGCTGGGATTACAGGCGTGAGCCACTGCACCCGGCCAGAACTCTTTTTTATTTATTTATTTATTTTTTTTGAGAGGGAGTCTCACTCTGTCGCCCAAGCTGGAGTGCAATGGCCTGATCTCGGCTCACTGCAAGCTCCGCCTCCCGGGTTCACGCCATTCTCCTGCCTCAGCCTCCCGAGTAGCTGGGACTACAGGCGCCTGCCACCATGCCTGGCTAATTTTTGTATTTTTAGTAGAGACGGGGTTTCACCATGTTGGCCAGGATGGTCTCGATCTCCTGACCTCGTGATCCACCCGCCTTGGCCTCCTAAAGTGCTGGGATTACAGGCGTGAGCCACCGCGCCAGCCCAGAACTGTTTTACTTGTTTACTTAATAGAGATTTGAAAAGTCCAACCTCAAGAAATAGAGATGTAATTCCTGAACTGATTTTTTTCTTATCGGCTCTAATGAGATTATGATACTCATTTTCATTATGGTGGTTACATTCTTTCTTCAAAATCCAAAGAACAGGGATTTGATTCTACATAATCCTTTATTTGATGTCATTTAAAATTAATTTCATAACAAACATAATACCTTTTCTTCCTAAAAACTTACCATAAGCTTAAATGTGTGTGATCAGTAATTTCTGATAAATTAAATTTGGGACCTTTACATTGTATTTAGAATCTTCAGCAAAACTGAACTTTTAAATAAACTTTGCAGTTTGGGCCATCACCTAAGTTTAATTTAATTCCAGTGTCAACTAGGCTTACAAAACAAAAAATAAGTCATTTGATAGTTTAGACTGTTTTACACACAAGCCAAGAAGAGACTATATTTTAGTTATATAATATAATCATCCACTCTATTTCTGCATAGGACTTAGATTTAAATATTTAAATAGGATAAAATTTTAGAGAATCTATTGAAATATTTCATCTGTAATCTGATCCAGTATTAAAATGTATACCTTTTAAAATTTTGTGGTTGTTTTGTTCAAAAATAATCATAGCAGCAACTGATGCATACTCTTTACTTTGATATAGGTTATTTCGATGCACGCTGACTAGCATTCCTCAGACGCAGGCCTTATTGAATAAAGCCAAACTTCCTTTGGGGCTGCTGCTTCATCCTTTCAAAGACTTAGTGGTATGTTTCTTTTCTTTTCTTTTCTTTTCTTTTTTTTTAGACGGAGTCTCCCTCTGTCACCCAGGCTGGAGTACAGTGATGCAATCTTGGCTCACTGCAACCTCTGTCCTCCATGTTCAAGTGATTTTCCAGCCTCAGCTTCCCTAGTAACTGGGATTACAGGTGCCTGCCACCGCGCCTGCGTAATTTTTGTATTTTTAGTAGAGAGGGGGTTTCACCATGTTGGCCAGGCTGGTCTTGAACTCCTGACCTTGTGATCCACCTGCCTCAGCCTCCCAAAGTGCTGGGATTACAGGCATGAG